TTTGTGTATCTTTTTTTTCATTTATTGCGTTGGTATTTATTTTTATTGATTCGTGCATGTCCCTCTTATATATATATATATATATATTATATATATATATATATATATATATATATATATATATATATGTATATATATACCGATATTTCCCTTAACGACTTCCAATAAGCTACAGAAATAACACAAAAATCGACATATTTTCTTTACACAGAACAGATATATAAGGAAATAGACAATTTTAAAAAATAAATACTCACACCATCTTATGCACAAAATTTCTAAATCTGAAATTTATAGACATTACAATAAAACTAATAATTCAGTAAATAACAAACCAAATCCAAGCACCTTTTTAACTGTAAACACTGTCTAGAAGTGTATGTTGGTCAAACCACTCAGAACTTACATTCTGAATTAAATTCACATAAAATTCATAAACAGAATACGACAGTCATTACCAAAGATAAAAAACATTTTTAATTTTAAGTGTACACAAATTGTAAAAGTAGAACAAAACACATAAAAGATAAACATATGAATCAATACTCATCAAACAGTATCCAAACTTTTTTTTAGACCCTGTACGAAAAATACCACAAAAATTAACAAACTATTCCTTCAATAGACCAGCGATAAAGAAATTTATTGATACGTGGACAGTAGCAACAACGGCAGCGAAGTTATTAAAAAATATTAAATTGTTTTTTTTTAAATTGTGTTCATGTGTTATATATAAATTATGGACTTTTTATTGGATTTCACCCCCCTTCTCCCCCAACAAGACAGATTTACGTTTCACGATATCCAAGTTGTTTGTATAAATTTTTTGTATGAGAAAAATAATCGATGAAAATAAGATATATTTTTGATATATACATGGAATACCTGTCGAAACGTTAACTTATAAATAAATAAAAAGCATATATATATATATATATATATATATATATATATATATTTATACGTACATATATTTATACGTACTTAAAAAAAATATACCTCAAAGACTGCGAAATAAAGTGTTTAATTCCCGTATCCTACCTGTGCTTACATTTGGACCTCAAACCTGGACTTTCACTAAAATGAACATGGAGAAGATCAGTAAAACTCAAAAAGCTGTGGAACGACAGATGCTGGGTATCTCACTCAAAGACCATTCGGCAGCTAAACTGAAATGGAAATGGGCTAGACATAACGAAAGTCTTACGGATGGCCGATGAAATTAATAAATCGGGAATTGGCGGCCATATGAAGCCAAAAGTCCACGAGGAAGATCACAAATGCGATGAAGCGACGATATTAAAAGACCATATATATATATATATATATATATATATATATATATATATATATATATATATATTAAATAAAATTGTGTGTCCTTATTATAGAAAATAATAAAAAAACTCTGGGACATATTCACTTTTAAATTTAAATGTGCGCTTCTTAAACATAAATTTAAATATGTAAAGTGATCCACGCAAGTCTGGCATAGTATACTATATGTATTTTAAATAAAATACCCTGTATATTTTTATGTTTTTAAAAACTCCTTAACAACCCGATCTCAACGGACTATATCATGTATGGTCTATTATAAATAATACAAGTAATTGATTGGATTACATTTAAATAAATGCTCAAAATGTTCTCCATCTTCTCCAATATTATTGGCAATAACACAGTATCCTATTAAACTCGTCCCGCACTTTGTTTAAAGTTTGAGGTGAAATATTCCGTATTTCTGTAGTTATCTTTTCTTTGAGGTTTTCAATGCTAGTTGGTTGTGTTGCATATACTTTGTTCTTGAGATAACCTCACAGAAAAAAATCCACAGGCGTAAGATCTGGCGACCTGGCTGGCCCTCAATAATACCCCTTCATCCAATCCATTTATTGAAAAAGATTTCATTCAAGTAATTTGTCACCATTAAAGCATAATGGGGTGTTGCACCGTCCTGCTGGAACCAGACAGTTTCATGCGGTAGGGTCGGATCTATTGGATTGGAATATAAGTTAGCCAACTGAGGAAGAACATCGTCTCTTAGCATGCTTAAATATTTTTCCACTGTACAAATATAGGACAAATACTATGATCTCCTATAATACCTAACCAAACATTCAACTTTTGAGAAGAATTGTGCCAAGAGCTATTTCATTTGAGTAAATTTTATCGATCGTTCTTTCACAGAAATCTATTCTATGATCTGGATCGTCTTCTGTTAGCTTCTGCATAAAAGTCAATTTATATGGATGAAGTTTTTCTTTATGAAGACGTCTTATGATAGTTGTGTGACTCACATTATTTTGACGTGAATTTGACGTTAGATTCTCTGCGACACAACAAAATATCCAATTTCACCTCATCTTCAATGAAGTTCGGTTTTCTTTTTAATGGTTTGACATGTCCAAGTTCTCGGAATTGTGCATACATTTTAGACACAGTACCTTGTGAAATATTAGGCAACTGAGATACCTCTGAGGGGTAAAATTTATAACTGGGGGCTCTTAATTAGGAGGAATTTTAATTTTATGTATACTGTCATGTAGCTGATACACGGCGCCACCTATATCACATATGTGGCATAAATTTGCATTTTACTTTCTTGCTCTCCAAATTAGCGCTATTTTGTGTCAAAAAATATTACAGATATTTTTAGTTTAATAAAAAAGAGATATATCTTTTATAAACTACAAAACAAAGTTTTTGAGATAATTTCATTTTACAAATCAGCTGTATAACCCTGATTTCACGTAATTACTTCAAACAACAAAGGCAAAAACGTCAATACTTCAGAATTTTGGTATGAAATACCTTAAACTAAAGTTAATAGCTTCTGAAATGTTAAAGCAAAAATAGTATACGCAAATATTTTCATTACATCAGTAGGATAATTCATAAATCTTGTAGTATTTAACATAAAACATTTTACGTTTTATAATAAATTAAAGTAATATTAAAATACATATTATTTACAAAGCAAATTAAGAAATAGTTATACTGAATAACATTAAACTTTTTGTTAAATAAGGTCTTCGGTATATCCATAATTTTATTTAATGTATTTATTAATACGTTCTATAAAGATGGTCTCATATTAAATAGTATAATTTGTTCAAAAAATACGGCTGCAGTAGCTATATCTTCACAAAGTTGATTGCGAATGTTTCTGCACGACCAGTCTAGCGTTCAGTAGAGTTGGTAATTCAGTATGTTCTCACTGCCTCGTTTAATTCGGGTTGCAACATCTTGCATGGATCACATATTTTGCTTTAAGGTTAATAGCAATTCCTCCATCAAACCAATAAAATCATTTTTTACAATGTAAATAGTTCTCACCATTCGAATTACGAGGTATCTAACTCACATGGACCTAAAAAATGATTTATCACCTACGTTTATTTTAAATGCATACTGGAAATGCCTTTCTAGTTTAACATATTTAAAATAATCAAAGATGTAAAGGTTCTCAATAATTTGGACCATTGAGGCAATCAAATATTAATTATAACAGCACAAAAGGCCTTGGATAGCGCTTCTCCATTTGTTTTCTGTTCAGCGCCAGCATTTTCTCTGATGCCGTACCGTAAAATGGTATCACGTCAAAGACAGTCGTTTAGAAGATATTTAGATATAATCAATATGCAGTTGCAATGTTTTTAAACATCTTAGGAGCTCTTAGAAAATCGTAGAGCTCCCTAGAAAACAACTTTGGATTGGGAGCAATTTATAATTAATAAATTTATGAGTTTGTTGTTTGTGAAGATAGTTTGTACCTTTTCACTCTGTATTCTGTACATCTCTTACAGGTACAAATTTTCTGAAATCCAAGAACAGTTCGTGTTTATTTAATATAAATATAGTGTCAAATACAATCTTCAGTATTGATTTAATTTGAACTCACATATTTATTAAATTAACACCCAATAAAAATATAAAAATTATAAAAATATAAAAATTTAAGAAATATCGAAAGCATTGTTCTAAATAATTTTTAAAGTCAAACCTGATAATTTAATTGTACAAATCAATCGTTTTATGTAGTTATTGCTACATAATTAGTTAGTATGTTTTGGTTTAGTTATACTTTGTATTAAGATCGTACTTAATACGCCAGAAATTTGAAACAAAATTAATACACTGTTCTTTATGTAATTAAAGCCATACAATGGATTTAACGAGTTATTAAAAAATATATTAAGCACTTTTAACAAACAAACATCCCGAATTTAAAACTGTACTATCCTTAATTATTATCAAAAGATACAAAATCTCGTCAAGTGATTTTTCATTTATATGTAAAGTTTATTCTATGATCTAATATTTATCTTTATTTTCTCGTCTAGCTCACTACATATCTGTTGCCAAATGTGATATTTTTATTCAAAGTAATCCGCGCTCTTAAGTCTGTCTCCTCAGTTCTCACCAGTCTCAGTCAGAGCGTTCGCGCAATTTTTAAAATTTTAGAATATCGGAAAATGACAGCCGACATACTGTTACCGGTGAAATTTAGTTTTTTTTCTGTCGGAATAATGACGAAATTAATGTGCGCGGAACTGTTATTACGGCCAATTAACAAAAAATACTAAATAAAATATGTGACAGTAAACATTAAATATTATTAGTGATATTATTTGTAAACTCAGTGACCATGTAATTTACGTGATATAAGAACCACCAATACTAATAGTTTAGCAGGACTTTACAACCAATTAAACAGTATTTTATAAACCTTTCTAATATAATTGTAATAATTTTATAAAATCTACGATTCAAATTTTTAAAAACCTACGCTAGCAGATAGTGCCAAGTAGTTTCAATTTTAGACTATTTTATTCAGTGGAGTACATATTGTTGAATATATATTTTAATTGAAGAGGAATACAAGAGAGTTTGAAAAACTGCCAAGGAGATTTTAAATCATGGGATACGTGGTCAGGCAACAGTCCTGCAAATGATTTGTGAACGTAATGTCAAGATTGTAATTAAGCTTATAAAAGATGTCTGAGAAAAGAAATTCTAGATTAAAAGCACTAGGTAGAAGTGCCAGTACAGAATCCACAGAGTATTCCATAACAATGGGAAAGTCAGTAAGAAAAAAGAGTAAAAAAGCAAAACCAAAAGAAAGATGGCTGCTTACAAGAAAAACTTGGCGTTATATGGCCGATGCGGGAAGGAAACTAATACCGGATGGTGCTCAAAATCGACTGGAAGATATTCCGAAAATAGAAGCGTATTTTCAAGAAGTGTGCAAGAAAGAACCAAGATTTCTGTTATGGCGAAAAAACTCCTATCCTGGAGCTATTGGGTTTCGACAAAAAAAGAAAAGAGTTTCTAGGAAAGGTGGTAGCTGTCGAAATGCTGTATCTGCCGATGAGGTGAGTTTAGGTAAACCAGAAAAACCAACAAGACCTACTCATCTCGCCATTGAACATACTTCTACAGGAAAATTCGACGTAAGAAGGTTAAAGGAAGAATTCCTAAGTCGTAATGGTAATCCTTCAGGATACTCCAGCTATGATCAAAAGATGAGCCCCACAGGGGCAGAAGAGGAAGCAGCAGAAGATAAGCAACTTATAAACATGTTGGAACAGTATCTTACTTTGGGAAAAGAAGAAACAGTGCCCGAAAAAGCAAAAGCAGATTTTAACTATCAAGATCTTGTAGACAAACTACAACGACACTTAACATTATATGGTGGAGATTATTACAGCGTTCCACATTCTTCACATTTGCCAACCCAACATGTTCATTTTGAAGGAGATCACATGCAAAGATCCCTTCTTGATACTTTGAGTCGTTACTATGGTCAATCCACAAACAGAGATAAAATAATTAGTGATTTATTGACAGATAGAAGGGCCTTAGAAAAACTATACTTCGAGTTACGAAAAACCAAAGGCTTTCGGGGAAGCCGAGGTGGTACTGGCTATACCACCTCCTTTGCCTATGGACCACAAAGGAGCAATTATGAAAATACTTCTCATAATAGACTTTTAAAAGAAAGTCCTTCAACTCCAACTCATCCTCCACCATTGATAGAAGTGGTAACTGCTACAGCGGAACCTTCCTTTCACAGCTGGGGTACACAAACGTTACCGATACCGGAAGCTGTATTGCAAAAAGTTGAAGAAGAATATAAAAAAATTCAAGAAGAAAGAGGAGACGAAGTTCCAACGAAAGAAGGTAAATCATTTCGTAGAAGAAGTAGTGTAGATAACGACGACATATCGCAATCAGTAAGTGACACCATAAAACGTTACCTTAGGATGGCCCGTAAAAAAAGTGTAGATGTGGACAAAGTGGACAGATTTAAGAGAGTGAATTATGACAGAAATTTACGCAATATTAAAGCAAAAGGTGAAATTACTAAACCCGGTGATGATGATGGTTTAAATAAAGGTTGTCAAACTAACGAGGACTGGATCTTAACCTACCGCGATTTAAAATTTTCTGATTTGTACGATGTTTCGGACGTGGAGAGCAGATTTTCGAGCTCGAGAAGTAGTATAGACATTGGGGTGGTAGATGAAGGTGCAAAATCTCTGCCTTCATCTCCCCCCTCAGTGAAAAGTGGGCATTCATTTTTAAGTCAATTACTGCATGGTAAACACGACAAGCATGATAAAAGTGATAAATCTTCTTCAGCAGTGACCAGCGGTGCCACCATGCAGAAGAGCAAATCCTCTTCTAGTGTGATGCACCATGGCAGTAGGTTGATGGCAAAGAAAATATTTAAATCAAGGTCCAAAAGCCAGACTAGGTCATCGCATCCTTGTAGTTGGACTCCGCAGGTGAGTGTATTATATATTAGTCTACATTTTAGTCTTAAATAGTGTACAAGCCCTTTTTCATTTAAATAAAGGTTGTTTCATTTGGTCACCGTTATGGAATATCATATTTGGTAGTAAGTAATTTTTATAAATTTTCTGTACTTTTTTATACAACTGTGAAATTCTAATTTAACATTTATTTAAAAAAAGTTAAAGTTTAATAAGAGTAATTCATCTCTGTAATTATCTATGGGTTATTGTACATCACCAATTTCTATCATTAACAGTTTATTATAAGAATATTTTTTTTGTGATTTTTCTGTATGTTCCTAACTGTTCTATATATTACTACACAATACTATGCAGTAACGTTATTTGGATTTTTGTATTTTTATGCTTGCTTTGTATTGTCTATCTCTGGACCTCTACACGTCTATGTCAGAAATTTGAATCTGCGCGGTTGTCGCTTTTTTGTCTATATATTTCATTATGCTCTATTTATCCATCGATTTTCCTTCCTTGTACATTTTGTTATTTTTATTTTGTTTTTTAACTTTTTACCAGACATCCTTGTTCTTCTTTGAATTCTACTATTGGTAGTTTCATTTGTTATTAGACTAATAATCTTTTCTTTGATACTTTTTTAAATGAATGTAATAATTTTAATAAAAACTTGTTGATGTTTTTCATTGTACTTTACTATTTGTATTTTGATTTGTATTTTCAATTATTAATTTTCTCTTAATACTTTTTTGAATGAGTGTAATAATTTTAGCAAAATGTTTTAAAAACCATTATAAACATATTAAAGACCCTTTGGGTATATCATAAGAGCTTATATCAAATCCATATGAAGTACCAAAAGGCGAATAATAAATAATTTAACTTAATTCTGATGTATTATTTTAAATATTTTTTATTAAAACTGTTTTTACTAAGAAATCGTAAAAAAATTAGTTTAGTAAAAATATTTAAAAATTAACATTAAACATATTGCTATGGAAATCTACCCTAAATGTTTTGAAAAAAAAATTATCAGATATTTATTTCACATAAAAATGTCTCCATGCTCGTCTATCTGCTTAGTCTCCTAATCAAAGACCTCTTTGACATAGCTTTTTGGAGCCATGTTGTTTTCGATCTTCCTCATTTTTTTTTGCTCAGGTGACTACCAATTTAATATTAACTTTATAGTCGATGTACTATATTTATATATGTTTACTGTATTTCTTATATGATGGTAATTATTCTGTCAATGATTGTCTTATTTTTTCATTTGTTACGTGCGTCATTTTGGATAAACCTGATCTGCACCAAAAATTAATTTCCAGAACCCGAAATTTTTATTCCGTTCTCTAAGGGGGTTTCTAGGTTTCAGGTTCATAAAGTACAATGCTTTTAAAAATACTGCTATAGCTGTATCTTTATCTGTTTAGCGACAATTTATGAGCAGAGTAATGAATTTAGTGCGCCTATTATTTTTTATCTTTTTTAATTCCTTCTTCAATTTCTGATTTAGTGCGTCCATTTCTTTTTATCTTTGCTCCTAATTATATATATACTAAACATAATGAAACTACCCTTCCATCTACTAAGTTATTTCCATCGTTTTTAGCTCTTCCTATGAATGTATTTCGCTTTTATTGAATTCATGTTTAGACAACATCGCTCGTACTCTTGTATTAACTCTATATTAGCATCTTTATTAGTATCCCTGTATTATTCTTTGTCATAAACTGCAGATCTTGCTGGTGTTGTGCGATGGCCTTTTTCATCCAGATGGCCCGATAAATTAAGAATATTCTAGCTTTTTATATTAAGATAAACTACGTTTATCTGAATAATCCAGAGAACAAAATTCTTCTCTTCCGAGTTTTACACGAGCGTTAACCAATAATCAAATTAGTTTAATACTATTCGTCCAATGCTACTACTTAGTTCATGTTGATTTGAACTGAACTGACATACTGCCATAATATAAAATTAGAAAGTTAATAGGTTTGTTATAATTTTTAAAGGTTTTTGTTCACATCCTTAAAATTACACTAATACTTGTCAAACAAATCCTTCTATTGTAGTGCTACATTAAGTTAACGTTAGTTTAATATTTGTATGCAATATTCAAAATCTTTTAATGTAATAATTTTTCATAATTCCTTTGAAAGCAGTTTTATTTAGAGTCCTTAGTAAAAGTACTATTCTTTGTCTTTAAAGCATCACTTCGTATCTCTAAGGATTTTGTCGTTTATCTTCTTGTGAATTAATGTTTAAGAGTAGTTTTATGTCCTCGAGATTATCTTTGTTGTAGTAGTATTTGTACGTTACTTAAATTTGCACAATTCTGAACTGTCAGCTGTCTTTACCAGTGCTAATATTATTTATTTAAATTATACTATTGTATTTTAATAGTAGTTTATTAAATACGGACAAAGAAGATTCTTGACCTATCAATTACCTATTATATTGTTTTGTAGCGGATATCTAACTCCTGCGTTTTCTTTTCTATATGACGTTTCAGCGAAGTTTAGCATAAGGTGATATCTCTCAAAAATCTCCTTGTGGAGAATTCCTAATTTATTTTAAATCTGAATTATATGATGTCTTTTTGTTTTATTCTAAAATATCTCTCGGATGTATAAGTCTGAAGAAGTTCTGCGTATCATCTCGACATAAACTTTGTAAATTAAACATTCGTGTTAAAACTTTATCAAAAACATGCAGAAAAACAGTGGCTTAATTCTAATTTTCTTTTGGTGTTATTTGAATTATGTTGTTTATCTTGTGATCTTGGTAGATTTCTTATTTATGGAGTTAAATATTTTAATCAAGTTTTTACCTATAATTGTTATTTTTATTCTCAAGCAAGAATTTCTCAATATCTCAAGAATAAGTGAAATATGAAAAAACTACTCACTTGAGTTTTAACGAACATACAATGTATAAACAAGAAGTCGGGAGACCTCTTTTCGATAGCGAACGTAACGATTCTAAGAGGATGTGAGAAGAATTTTATATAACTATTGTGCTTATTTTAGCCGATATCGAATTAAAATCATTTAATAGCTAAAATGTAAAGGCTATTGGCAAAATGTTGCCAATTTCAAGAACCTATCTACAGCGTATTCTCACTGAAGACCTGCATCTCCATATTTAAAACGTTCAATTGAAAAAGTAACTTACATCTACTAACCATGCATTGCGAAGAGATTTCGCTAAATAGACAATTAACATCAACGAATGGATACTAATTTTTCGAGTAAAAGATCCTAAGCGATGAAGTACATTTTCACCTTAATGGCGTTTTTAGTTGTCAAAATTCCCGCATTTGAGGTCTGAGAACCCACATGTAACTCTCTAAATACAAAAATGTATCCACAACGTGTCTCTGTTGTCTGTTGGTGCTGATTTTAAAATGAAGGTATCATTGGACCATACTTCTTTGAAAATGAGGCCGATGAAGCAGTGACTGTTACTGGTGCTCGATATAGCGACATATTGATGGGGACTATATGTGGTTTAAATAAGATTGTAGCACGGGGCATACAGCCCATTAAAAAATCAATTACTGCATGTGACATTTCCTGGTCGTGTGCTCTTCCTCGTCGGTAATCAGACTTGGCCCTCTAAACCGTGTGATCTGAAGTCAAAGATCTATTTGATGCCAAAAAGTTAACAACTACCCGAGCACTGAAGAAGCTAATTCAACGTTACTTTAAGTAGATTCAGCCATATGTGTGCAAAAAAATTGTGACAAATTTCGACAAAAGAATGCGTGTGTAGTTAGTAGCAAAGCAGTAGTTAATGTTTCAATATAAAATCTTATATATTATATATATATATATATATATATATATATATTATATATATATATATATATTATAGATTATATATATATACATATATATATATATTATATATAAAAAATATATATGTATATTATAATATATATGAATATTCTAAAGATTAGATCGGGCTTTAACACATAAAAAACAACTAGACAAATAATATTCAGTTTTCACGGTTATTATATTCCAGTCTGTCTAAAGTTATGTTGCCCAGTAGATATTGCGTAATATTACAAAAGGACACATCCCTGACATACTTTAATGTCAATATTTTCTCTATTTTTACAATATATTTGGCATATTTTTGAAAATAATCTTGAGGTCAATATCACTCTGGTCTCAGCAACTTATGTTTACTGTAGTTTTTGTTGTCTGTTTGTGACAAAATTAAATAAAATTAAAAAAAAATCGTCATATTTATAATTTCCAGCATTGAAATATATAGTTTATGATCAAAACACTGAAATATATTTAAATTTTTTAAACTTACGGGTTATATTTTGTTAAACATATATAGTTGAATTTATAGTTTTTAGGAAAAGCGTAAAAACACGTCAATTAATATTTAAAGGGGGACCCATTATGCCCTATTTAAGCTTGCTGGATATGCACCCTTTCATCCTTTTTATCATCCCTTAATTTTTGTTTTTAATTACTACCACCTTTTTTGTTTGATATTTGGATTCTTCTCTTTATACAAAAATGTGTAACACGTGATGCTTAAAATGATTAGTTTACGAGAAAAATATATACAAACACAAGAAAACTGGATTAAAAAAAATATTTTAACAACTTTATTACAAATATTTAGTGTGAACATTTCACTACTAACAATTTTTACAATAATTTTTTAAAGTGACTGCTATTCAATTTCATACAGTATTACAATCTATTTTGAAATTCTTCTCTGATATTGCTTAACATGTATACATTTAATTAATGACATCTATCCTTTATTCTTTGTTGTGAATCATCCAGAGATTTTGGATGAGTAGCATAATTTTTTGTTTTTAAATATTCTTATAAGAAGCAGGCTAGAGGTGTTAAATCCAGTGACCTAGGTGACCAATCTATTATCTGGCCACTTCTACGTATTCAATGAGCGGGAAAAGTTTCGTTTAAAGTTGTCGCACATATAAAGGGTTCAGGCGTTCTAATATGTTTAAATAAAACCAA